CTAGGTAGGTTAGTAATTAGTCAACTAATGACTAGTTGACCTAAATACAATGGAAAGTATTTTCACAATCTAATACGAAACAAATTTAGAGCTACAAGGATCAGTCAAGCATTAACTAATTTGGTTATCCACAGCTTTGATATTAAGCTACTACGGCCAACAGTCTTCTCTCTGCATCTGAGGTCAGATTCATCAACCAATAACCCCCATTATGGTACATTCATTAATGACAGTTCTAGCTATCTATATATGATCTTCTGCGGTATCAATCCTCATGGAACAAGCAACCTGATCAGTATGGTTTATTTTTCACAATGAACTTGTTTAGTATCTACTATAGTGAATGAATTATGCACAGAGTTGCAGCTTAGGGGGCCATTGCTTGGGTTGACAAGCCTGAGAGCTGCTTCAAGTATGAGAAAAAAAAAAAAAAAAACAGAAATCAAAGGCTAGGTCCATACCTGGTCCACTCCTCCCAAGACCAAGACCCTGGAGAGCAGTAGCCAACATCAGAAAATACCATTACCCAGTGTTGGTCCCAGCTTTCTGGGGTCCTGGCCTTGGGAGATAACTGTGACTTCACACATATAGAAGAATGGAGGAAACAGATTTGCATATCAGCTGTAACAGATCTTTTGTCAATTATGAGACCTTCCGTGATACATGGAACGATGAAGAATTGCTTAAAGTCGCTTATTAGAGTCCTCATTTTACCCAATTTGGTACCTTGGGATGCTTTTAACATATAAAGCTCCCATCTATTCAATACTATTGGTTGTCTAAATTAAACTCATCATTTCAGAGAAATAGATAGCAAGAAGATACAAGCAAAACATGCAGTTTTTCATTTTCTTTTCTTTTCTTTTAGTAGTTTTACTTTTACAATTCATTTCATCATGTCTAAATTAAGGAGTTCCCAATTGGCCACATATCTCATCACATAAACAACCATTCTCACCTCAATTTCCATTTTCTTTCCCTTTCTTGTCATTCTCTGCTTTCACCATTTTAAGGTGAATCAGGATTCTAGAATTTGAAATTTGGTTTCCACATCTTCAGAATTAAAGGTATTGCTCTACTTTACAAATAACTAAGAGTTTATAGCTCTAACCCAATTGATACCTTTCTGCTGCACATGCCCTAGCATGTGCCTTTTGCAGAACTAAAAGATTAACAACAAAAGGAGATTCAAGAATGAACCAACCTCTAATGTAGCTTTCGAAGCATTGGTTCAATGCTGCTGTGAAGAGATTGATTCAATCACTGACGTTGAAGTTGCTGATTGGTGCTGCCTGATAGAAATTGGAGACAAACTCCACCGGTCATGGACAGTAGAGAAAGAGAGAGAAAAATAAAGAGAGGAAGACTACCTATTCACGCCGGTGTCGTTTGGTGTTGTCTGGTGAGGAGAGGTCGACTGTGTGTGTGTGAGAGAGAGAGAGAGAGAGAGTACCAAAGAAAAAGAGGGCAGGAAGAGAATGGGAAAATGAAGGAGGAAGAGGGAAAAAGAATCATAATTTGCGGTTTATTTATTAGCGGCAGTTTTAAACGACTGCCACTAGAGAGATATGTACGGGATATATCAATGCTATATTGATGGCATATTGGGCATATTATCGATATGCTACGAAAAATATATAGGCGAAAAATGAAAAAAAAATAAAGGTATTTCCATTAAAATAAGTCTACTTTCACATCCAAATGATTCTAAAACTCTAAACATCATTCATACAGTGCTAAATTTGTAAAATAATAATAATAATAATATCCATAGATCAATTGAAATTTCTTGTACAATATTTTTTATATTTTTTGTAATTTTGGAATTAATTGATAAATATTTATTATTTATATTTTCTTGTGATTTGCCCATAAAGATTATGTATGTTCAATATATTTTAAAATATATTTTCTTCTTTAATAATTTTTATTTTTATATTTTTAAAATTAAAAATAAGTAATAATTAATAATATTTTTCTAATCTAATCATAAGGATTAAATATATTGTAGATCTATGGATGATCTATCATGTCTAGAGAGCAATTGAAATTTCTTCTTCAATAGTGTTTTTTGAATACATTTTACAATGTTTATTTATTTTTGATTTTTGTAATTAAAATATAGATAGTAGTTATTTAAATAATAAATAATTATTAATTGTATTTTCACTTAGAAGTTGTGCCAATGCATGTTTTATGGTTAGATAGGATAATTAAGCACAAGGTTTTTAATGAAAATTATAATTGACTATGATATATTTCTTCATAAGACCAATTAAAATATATTAATTTAATGTATGAATACCTCATTGAAGACTTATATTTTGTGTTATTGATGTATTTTTGTGATTTATTGAAGCATTTATAATATTTTCATGCATATCCATATTTACTTTAACTTTTTTTTTTGATACACGTGCATATCCAAGACTTATCCCAATATGTCTCTTAAAATTGCCTTTTTGATAGTTTGAACCTTACCCCTTGTAAAAGTAAATCAAAATTGATATCTCATCATTTTCTTTTCACTTGTAGATGCTTGAACCAGTGGAAAACATAAGAGAAAGAGAGAAAAGGGAGGAGAGAGAGAGAGAGAGAACAATGACCAGTGAGGAAAAGAATTGCATGGGAAGAAAATAGAGAGGAAGAGAGAAAAAATGAGGGTAAAAGTGGGATTATGAAAAAAATAATGGGCACATGAAACAGCCCTAAAAATTTTCTTAATAGATGACCTATTTGTGTTGTGTGGAGCTCAAGGTTCAAAGTATCGACACGTATCGGCCCGTATTGGCCGATACGTATCATTCCGGGACCCCTCTGATATGCCCCTACAATGGGTATATCGGGGGTCTGACCGGTTCAGAGGGTGGAGGAGCCCTAAACCGGCCCCCCTGAACCGGTTGCAGAAAAAATAAAAAAAAAAAGACATCAAAAGCTGTATCAATTCGCCCGATACGCCCATACCGGCGTATTGGGCATATCGATATTTTGAACCTTAGTGGAGCTATCTTACAAGGTATATATATATATATATATATGTAGGTTTTGAAACTATAGGGTATATATATTAGTTTCCTTAAATCTGAACGTATATGTAAGTAATTATCCTTATTAATAATATGAATTAAAATGACATTAATATTGTATTCATGAATAAAAAGAATAAAAAATAATATTTATGAAACTTGAACATATGATAATATAGTAAAATCACTACATTCAAACCAACTTTACAAACAAATACAATATAAATTTTTAAGTATAGGTGAGCATATAGATTTAAATTGAACCGAATCGGATTGTATCAAATGGATAGGAGCGAATCCATATTTAATCGAATTATTAATGGATCAAATTCGAATTTGGATAAATAGATACTGCTTACATCCCTAATGTATGGTTATGCCAATCATCTCATGGATGTGCTAGTAGGCACAATTCTAGGACAGGTACCACACTGATTGTGTACTTGTGCTCACCAAATGTTTTTATCAGATCTGAACTCACCATTGTGGTATGGGTGTTCACGGGTTGGGTTGAGTCGGTTTAGTGGGATTTTTCCAACCGACTCGATCTGGTTGGGTTACCTAAGGTGGGAACCGAAACCGATCCACTAATAGGCCAATCGACCTGGTCAGTTTGAGTCGGGTTGGGTCGGTTTTGATATTGCTCCTGTACAACGCCGAATAAAATCTGAATTAGTTTCTCAATAAAATAAAAAATTAGAAACTTTCTAAATTCTAATCTAGGTAAAAAACTAAAAAAGGACACCTAATTGAATTCTAATTGTAATTGCCTAATGGGCCTTCCAAAGTTCTAGTTCTAGTAGAAGTCTAGAAGTAGAAGATTAGTAGGAATTAGGAAACTACTCAAACTAAGAAGTAAGAACTACCAAACTAGTAGAAGACTATTTCAGTTCGGGTCGGGTTGGTTTCGGTTTTCACGCAAGAAAACCGAAATCGACTCGATATATCGGTTTATGTATGTGCCCAACCCAAAACCGACCGGTACGAATGAAAACCCGGCCGACTCGGGTTGGGTCGGTCCGGGTTGGTCGGTTTGGTCGGGTTGGGCATTCTTATGAATAGCCCTACATTGTGGTTGGACATGTTGGAGATGTGTGGTTATAGATCATGTTGAAAGCTATGTGGGTAGCATCTTGTGTGCATGTTGAAAGCTATGTAGTAGATCAGGTCTCATTATATTTTCTCTATGTATTCTATTCATAGCCCAAAGCCCACATTAGGTCCTTCTATTTTTAAAATCTATCTCATGAAAGCATTGATTAATATCCATATCTCTTACGTCCGAGCAGAAATTTACCCAAGATAATTAGACTAATATAAACTCCCACGGGATGAAGAAGGAACAACATTGTTCAAATGTGATGCATAATTCCCTTAAAATATATTAAGAATATGAGATGTTGAGCAGTTTAGCTCCAAGTTTGCCCTTTATATCAATGGTTCAAAGGTAAAGCTGTAACTTTAAATTATCTTTTTTTTTTTTTTTTTTTGTATTATGCATAAAGTTTGTATTGTTTTTTTATAGAAATCAGCTTTAATAGTAATTACATGGGTATTTTGGACATTTTTATGCTTTTTGTTAGAGAATTTTAATAGAAAGGTTCTACTTGCAACTGTATTGCAAGTACCAAACTTCACACGAGGTTTTAGCAACGGTCAAAAATTTTATGGAAGTGATTGCAATTACCAAACTTCAAGAGAGGTTTCAACAATTACGGTTTGTGTTGTATCCATTTTTGCGTAGTAATTAACCATTGAAACCCGAAAGAAAATGCCTTTTGAGAATACTTGCTAGCTGCTAAGTTGATGTAAAGCAAACTACTTTTACTTTTTGCCTTTTTGGTGCACCATTTCGTGAGCCATTGGTATTATTCCTTCCGCATATATAATTCTAGAGATATCAGAATATATATTACCTTCTGGAATACCCCATAATCGTGAATCAAGACTATATGCATGTTTGAAGGCCAAATATTGAATTCAATTCAGTTAAGGAACAAAGCACATCAAACACCGCACCCCTATAAATAAAATACGAAATACAAAGACAAAAGAACCTCTAATACATCATTGAATATATAGATAACCAAACAGTCATCCACACAAAACCTCAGTGAGAATCCATGCAACTACGTAAAGTAGAGATTCTATTCTAATTAGTTAACTAGGTATAACCTTGCTTATATTTGCGAAACAGTTGTTCTGTTTTGGCATTCCTGAAGGCACAAAACCCTATCACGTATACCGATATTAAGGCAATAAGAGTGATGAGTAGAATGATGTCTGCTCTTCTCCATTCCTTCTTCAGATTTTCCAGTAATCCTGCTTTGCATGAATCACAGGCATAGCAAAGCTTTGTTTGATCGTTGCTCCACTGCAGGCAATCCATATCAGCCACCGTGTTTATGGGGCTAATCCAATACGTAGGATTCACGAATGTGTATCCACATGCCGTCGGTGGTTTGCAGCATCCCGACTGAACAAAATAATAGAAAGAAGAGAGGTTTACTTATTAGAAATCAAAATGAAAAAGTGTCCACATGCTGAAGAATCTAAGCATACTGCTTTGCATGGTTTGTTCCCTCTATCGCTATCACAAGACCTTAGACAGTAAAGCTGCGTTTGCTTGCAATACAAATGTAAATGTGTACTGTATATATAAACACACCTCTTGGGTTCATGAATGCAAAATGGGTTCATATTTGTTGTGTTTACATCGAGATCCAAGGAGTACAAATTTGTATCCATCGATCTAATAGAGAGAAGAATGCACTTTTGCATCAGAAAAAGCACTTTTCCCCTCTTAATTGATTCACTTTGGTATGACAAGTAAATGCTCACAAACCCAAATTGGGGTACATAAATACTCCTGTTAGATCTTTGTATCGCAAACAAACGCAACCTAAGGTTTACTTAGAAATGAAGAATACTTTGGTTCTCTACAAATCATCACCATTCTTTCAAGACCAAGGAGTAGTTTCCAATAATTTCCTTTTCTTAATTATCATATGAATCAAAGATAAACACGTAATCTTAATTCTTAACATACAAGAACATCTAGAAAAGAAATAAAAAAGCATATATGCAATTAATTACCTGTATTGGGCTAATGGGTGCATTGAAGAAATCCTGAGCAAGATGGAAACTCTGGTTCAGCCCTGCACATATGCTTGTTGAGCTAAGGCAATTCTTGATCCGATTCCACTTGTAAGAACTTTGCACCCTTCGACGCAACCATCCTGAATAGTCATCCAGATGATATTCTAAGTAAGCCCTGTTAGGAGCAAGGTGACCAGAGCCCCTTGCGGTAACCGAGTAGATGAATATGACTAGAGCTGCCAGTAGTATTATCAGAACGAGCATGAAGATGAGATAGAAGAAAAGGAGCCACGGGATGCGCCAGAAGCCTCCTATGAATCCTGCAGCAGCTACAACTAAGATCAAGATGGCCAGAATGATGACCGGCCATTGAAGAATCTTAACGCAAGAGTTGTCAGTTTCTGTTGCAAGCCAGATCCCGGCACCGATAATTGGGATTGAGAGGAGCATGGCGACCAAGTTGATGGATCCAATAACATTGTTGCTCATGGCCATTTTGGTGAAGCTGATTCAATTCAACACAGAGGATGAGAGGAAGAAATTCTTGACCCTCTATTGTGGAATATAGATTGCACCAGATATAGATCATAGATGTGGGGAAATAAAAAAGACATGAGAGCGTGCTACTTTGCTTTCCAAACCACCAGCCATCAGGCTTTTCTGTGTTGTTATTGTTCCTTGCCTTGTATCCATGAAAAGAAAGATGCCAAAGCTAATTTGCATAGGTTTAACTTTAAAAGTTTGCTTTAAATTAATGTCAAATCTCTCTCTCTCTAACCACTTTCTCAAAGGGGAAAATTATGTCCAAGACTATTATTTATTAGTCAAAAAGTCCATATGTGAAAAGACAGAAGAACCCCTAAACATTGCTTGTTTTTCAGGGGTCTATAAAAAACCGAAAAACCCAAAAATCGAAACGAACTGAGGAAACTGAATTGGAAAATGCGGTTAACCGAATCGATCGGTTCAGTTTCGGTTTGGTATTTTTGAAAAACCGAAGGACCGGTTAGGTTTTTGGTTAACCTACAAAAAAATGGCGGTTAATCGAACTGACCAGTATATATATTTATATGTATTTTTAATATATGTCACATATTTTCTATATATTATATATAAATATATACATATATTATATTTATAATAATCTATTTATAAATATATTGTGTATTATATATTTTTATAATATTTATAATATATTATATACCATTTATTATTTATAATATAATATTATACATATATTTATATATTATATATTATAAATATAAAAAATCAAAAAACCGAACCGGTCAAAAACTGAAATCGATGGACCGGTTAACCGGTAGTACCGGTTTGATTTGCAAAAATTGCCACCGAACCATGGGCACCCCTATTGTTTTTGTCCTTTTACTGGGATGTGTTGAGTTGAGCTTATAAAAAAAATGGGATTGGCCCAAATCAATCCCCTAGAAGATGGATCATCACACCCACCAAATCAAATATCTCTAAAATCTGGATTTGATCACACCCATCAGTCAAGCAAATGGTACCTGGTATGTTAAAATAAGCATTTACAGTTTAAACAATGGATCCAAGCAACAGCAACCCAGCGGCCCAGTAAATTCCCAGCCCAATCATATATTGGATTGGACAGATACGCTTGAAACATAATATTTTCGTAGATAGTATAGTCCTGGAAAGAAGTAGAATTATGGGCTCAGTGGCCAAGCCCATTCTCTATAACACATAAATAGAGAAAGGTCTCCATCGACAAGCCCAGCCCACACAAATAAATGAATAATCGACCATATAATCATTTCATCTCAAGTCTCAACAAACATTATCCAGAACTCTGAGCATCTACGGTGGCATGGAGTGGAAATGACTATTTACACCCATTACCTCATCTTACCTAGAAGGTTGATCGTACTGATATATCATTATCAAGGCCAAGGGCATGGTTGGTCTTCTACGAAGCTTACCTTCCACATAGAGCAGCAGCAGCTGCTGCTTCTAGCTTTGTTTGGTCACTAATGGCAACATTGGCATTGCATGCAGCAGCTTCTATGTTCTCAATCTTTTCTTCTTCCAGGTTTCTTTCGTCCCCGAGACCTTCAGCGTTCAATAAATTTGAAATTTCCCTTTCTGCTCCTGGCTTTTCTCCCAACTTCCACTCTTCCTCTCTTCCGCTTCTTTCGAATGTTTCCACCAGAAAATTCGGTTTCCAACTATACTCTACGGTTCAGGAGGTCGCAGTAGAAGAAAAACCAGAGGAAACCCAAGACGAACACAGGAAAAAGCTCTTCGTTCTGAACCTGCCATGGCGTTTCTCTGTTGCTGATATTAAGAACCTCTTTGGTGAATGTGGGACTGTGAATGATGTCGAGGTTTTTCTCCGGCTCTTTTTTACTTCTTCAGAGCTTTTGGTTTTAATTACCTGAGGCAAGTTGTGGTTTTTTCTTGTCCTGTTCTAGGTTATTAAGCAAAAGGATGGGAGAAACAGAGGATTTGCCTTTGTCACAATGTCCTCCGGAGAAGAGGCTCGTGCTGTTGTGGACAAATTCGATTCATATGTAAGCGACTTCACTGATTTGGAATAAATTCATTATTTCTTTCTTTTTCTTACGTGTTTCTTGAAAATGAGATTGAATGAAGGGATTGTTAGGAACGAATAAATTTTAAGTGTTATATACTTCCTTTATTTTCGAAATTTACTTATTTCTTAGATGATCGTTCTTGAACTGGGACTTTAAGTGAAGGCAATCAAACGAGAAGCTACAAATGGTGGAATGATTATCATAAGTTTTCTCTTCTCTTTCCCGGAAATTTTATCTGAAACATAGTTTTCAAGGAGCCAAGGCGAGGCTAGGCAACAGGGGGGCGCCTTGTTGCCTAGTGGCCTAGGCGGGCGATGGATTTTTTTTAAGTAAAAACATGTATCCTAGGGTAGTTCCCTAGGTTCCATAATCATATTTCCTTAATAAATATCCATAATTTTCATAAGAAAAGTATAAACTTCATGTTAAAGTATAGAAAATCAACATATTCCAACATATTCACGAAAAGAAATAGAAGAAAGAAAAGAAAATCCAAAAAATATAGGGGCTGAACCTCTATTTCTGTTATAGGAAAAGAAGAAAAGAAAAGGTGGAAAAAAAAGAAGAAGAAGAAATTAGTATATAAACACACAAAATTATTAAAGAAAAAGAAGAAAATGTGTTGATTGGACAACATTTTATGTTCTTCCTTACTTATTTTTTCAGGTTTTGAAGTATTTGAGGGTTCAATATAGCATTTAGCATTGTTTGTGTTGATTAAACCCTAACAAGTAAGAAAATAATAAAAAGAAATTAGTATATAAACACACAAAATGAATATTTTAGTTTAAAAATATCAGTTTTATAATTATAACCTAAAAATTAAGAATATAAAAGTTTTTTATAACATGCTATAGAAAACTGCTTGGCGATTAGGCGAGGCGAGCCTCCAAGGGCGCCTTGTCGCCTAGGCGTCGCCTTGACAACTATGATCTTAAATGTGTCTGTCCAATTAGAGTTTCAAAAAATGGGTATATTTGTTGAATTGCTTCTGGTGGTGCTGGTACATGATGGTAAAGACTTATTAACCGTACTACGATTGGGAAATTTTCTCAATTTCTTATTGACTTTTGGCTGTCTGGTAGACTGGTACTTGAATTGCGGTGAAGATGGTTTTTTTGTTTCTTCTTTTCTTTTGTTTGTTGAAGTAAATACAATTGTTCTTTCTCTGTAATTCTCCACAAAAAGTTTCTCCATCGTAGCTGAAATTTTCCTGCTGCAGGAGTTGTCGGGAAGAATTATCAGGGTGGAATTTGCCAAGAGATTGAACAAACCTTCTCGTCCTCGCCCTGAAGGTGCCCCTGTTGGAGAGACGCGCCATAAAATTTATGTGTCCAATCTTGCATGGAAAGTGAGATCCAGCCATCTGAGAGAATTCTTTTCTGCTGGTTTCACCCCAGTTTCAGCTAGGGTGGTCTTCGACAGCCCATCAGGTAGATCTGCTGGATATGGATTTGTTTCTTTTGCGACAAGGGAGGAAGCAGAATCTGCTATTTCTTCTTTGGATGGAAAGGTATTCCCATTTTCAGAACCCTTGGCTGAAACTTTTTTTTCCTGCTTTTTCTTTTCATTCTACGCTCATATTGTTTGCTAGGCATGTCTTTGCCAATTTAGCTGGATACAGAATGGATATTTGGGTCGTTATAAGTTAATTCTTGTGTTACCTTTTCTTCTAGGTGCACATATTTACTACTTTAATTTGTTTAAGTGAGCTCTTACCATTGTGAATGGTTTTCTTTTCACAAACAAAAAACAACTGCCATGTCCCGAAGTAGATGATTTTACAAGCCTCTACATGTGCTTAAAAGTAGCTCTTATCCTTTCAATATGTTTGGCATCTAGCTTTTTTTATATTGCTACGAGTTTGTGTTATATTATTCTTACTCTTTTCATAAGCAGTAATAGATCACATTGACCGTGGATATGTAGTTTACAACATTTACCATTAGAAAACTGGCCACGGAGGAGCACTTTACAAAGGAAAGCTACCTTTATGCATCTCCTCTCTCCATCCTTCTTTTCATGAAATCATTAGCCACATCATCCCTTACACGATGAACAAGCTTCAATGATCGCACTACCTTCCCCTTGGCCCATTAGATTACATTCCTTATGTAGCCTCCACCATTAGAGAACCAAAACCTATTTCTTTGTCTATATTACAGTCTTTAATAAGGACAAAAACTTGTTAAAATTAGAATCAGATGCTGGGCCATTGAACATATATAGAATGCTGCCATCTTTCATAAACAAGCCTCAAAGTTCCTGCCTCAGGACTACACTAAGAATTTCGATGAATTCAACTTGATTTCAAAGAGGTCTCAACGTCACCATTAAAGAAGTCTTCCTTACATAGGTGGAAGTGAACAATAGATACCCATGTCTCTTCTTATTTCACTTACATTAGTTTCAAGGACAACATATCGATACGATATGCCCCATTTCGGGTGTATCGTATCCATATTGGATCACCTGGATAAGCATGGATACACAGATACATATATATTTCAAAACTTTTAGAACTTTTGGATGATAGAAGGTGTTAGAGAATAAAAGCCTATTCAGAGACCTACCTAACAACTTAAGCTTTTAGGTGGAATGGTTCTTGAGAGAAAGGCATCCTTCTAATTCTTATATATATATATATAGTATCAGTCATATCGAAATGCAACGATACCCAACATTTGGTATTGGGCGTATTGATATTTTGATCCTTGATTAGTTCCCCTGGCATTGGTACTCAGAAGGTCAATTAGGATAAGACCCTTCTCTAATAATTGGTGGATAGTGGAGAGAAACTTCCCTTCTAAATCCCCATTGCATAAGGAACCATCTTCCAAACTAGTCTTCCTTGTTTCCCTCCTTCCCAATAATTCTATTGGGAAAGCAAATTGGATACACTCAATGGGCTGACCTAATGATTCTGTACTTATCAAGAAAAGGAACAAATTGCCTAGTTATTGAGGTAAGAAGAAAGAGATGGATTATGGATTGACATTCTTGTAGGTAAAGTAAGCGAAAATGAGGGTAGATGTATTTGAGTCCCTATTTGTTGGACAATATTATAAGTGTTTGTGTTACCTTTCGAGTTCTCTCACATAAAGTGTTCTCCATAGCTCAAGCATTGTGCACCCAGGCAAGGTTCAAAATTTCAATATGATATTCCCCATGTTGGGCATATCATATTGTATAGGCAGATCCACAAAATTTTGTTTTCAGGCTTTTGGGATTTTTTTTTAATGTTTAATAATAGAATTATGACCTCCCTGTGAAAACATGAAAACAAAAAGATAAAAGAAGGAAAATAATGGTATTTGACTCACCCAAAAGAAATAAAAAATGCGCATTAACATGCATATCAGGTTATCGATACTTTGAACCTTGCACCCAGGTCTTCCTTCTGAGGTGGAGGAACAATGGCAGGTTACCTGGTAGGAACCTGAAAGAAATAGTTGAGACAAAACTACTTGCAGAACTGGGGAATCATTCTGGCCCAGTTGGAGAAAGTAATACTTCACCAACAACCTCAAGGAGATTAGTGACTTATTGACTATCTGCTTCCAGCTTCGTTAAAGTTCCTATATGAGATTGAGATCTCAAGAAAAAGCTGACTGATGAGAATAATAAGGACATGCCACAGTTGATTTGGAGTTAGTTAATTGGTATAAGCAAGGGAAAGAAGGTCTTAGATGTTGGTACCTCCACCATTTCTTAAACCAAAACTTGTATTTCCATTGCCTATATCATGTCTTAATAATTGAAAGAAGGATAAACTTTCAAGATATCATTCCATGAATGGAGAGAAGAGGCCGACTCAAATTCTTAATATGAAAATCATAATCCATATTTGCTAGCATAACCCATACCTTTCTCCCATACATTATAGGGGTTCCGGCAAAGGTTCATTTGAAATTTGCTGGAATATGTGGAAGAAGCAAAGTTGTCACACATATGAGATGGGAAATTTGAGAAACAACTTGTTTTCTAGCCATCTATTATAAAAGGGTCAAGGGGCTGTAATTGGAAAGCTACATAATTTCTGGTTCAACCTTGGACACATAGCTTGAAATGCACCTAAAATAGTCAACGTCCTTGAACTGATTTAATCTCCATAGAAGGTACATTTGAAAGCTAAGAGGCTGTAAGGGTGTATGCCAAACTCTATCTACTTCCTTTTTCTCTGACCAGGTATGTATATTGTGACCTTCTGAAGGAAGTAAAAAGTGTTGCTAAAGTCATGCGCCCATGTAGAAAAATTTGATAATGCTGCAATGTGAAGGAGAAAATCTAGGAAGATGGCAAAATATTTTGTATTCTTGCTTGACATAAGAATAATGAACCAGTTCACCATGTTCACCATGTACCTTCGTATAATAACAAAAATTGCTGAAAATAGTCTGTTTACTTGGTTTATTGGATATATTTCAGGTTTTTAGTTGTTTCTACTTTCAACCATCAATTTTCTAATTTAACGTTACATCACAAAGGTAAAAATGTATTGATATTTTCAATCCTCCTCGGGCAGGAATTATTGGGGAGACCTCTCCGTTTGAAATTTAGTCAAAAGAATGTTGATGAATCTGGAAGGAAACAGGAAGAGGCAGATGCTGCTGAAGAACAACCGGAAGAGTCATAGATGGAAAGACATGGTCATTATCATGTTGTTTGCGGGTTTTAACAGTAAGAGGGTGAATGCAGCAGAGAATTTTTTGTTTTTCTTACCTCATCCATGTAGAGTACTTATTGGAGACATTCTACATGTCTGTACATTTTCTCTGTTACTTTTTTGTCTTCATTCTCTGCATGTACTGTAGATTAGAAATTACCATTTCTGAAAAAATATCTTTCATACAATTGTTACATTTTAAGAGTACATTCAATTTCATAAAGATGAATATACTTGTCACTTTGTATCAAATCAAGCAAAATATTTTCTTTTCCTAGAATACATTTGTTGTTGACTTGTTATCATCTTAACATTCTGTTGACCTATAATCTTGGATATATTTTGCTTTTTTGCTGTCATCATTATTTTGTAAATATTATCTATTCCTGAGGAGCATATAATCAGTAGATGTGGATATTCTCACCGTGCTCCAGCCCCACTGACAAATGGGCCAGTAGGTGGTGTGCTTATAAAAATAGAAACTACTCTATTTGCCAAGTAACCATAGATTCAGTCCGATTGTTGAATTACTTTTATGTTGTTGATTAGTGAAGTCAAATTAGAAGGTCATGATTGAGTTTAGTTGAGTAGATCGATTCTTTAGTTCGAGACCTATGGTAGTTGAGTTAGGGGTGTCCTTTATCAAAATGTAGTTAAAGGCATTGTATTTAACAAGTTCAGTTCTCTTATGAGAAGTCATAGAAGAAATCTGAGTGTAATCCTATTTGGAGGTTTGGCTCCCTCAAAGTAGCCTCTCAGTTACACTAATTCCTTTATTTTATTCCTCTGTTACTCTGTTATTGTATCAAAGCTTTTTTTACGTTGGGGGGTGGAGGTGAAACGACCTGCATTAATGATCAAAATTGAGGCCCAGACTTGCTGTCCCTAAGAAGGATATCTGCGAGGCCAGGGACAGTGCAAGGAGCAAAGGAAACAAAAGAATCTGCAACTGAGCTAGCTTTGACTTCACAGTGGGCGGCAGAGTTGGCTTCTTCGCCCACAAACTGGAGGTTCACATCTGAGTATAATGAAGTTTAAAGATTGGAAATGTGAAGCTCTCAATGCCTAAACAACCAGTGAAAAATGGACAGAATCTTGCCACAGAGAAAGGAGCACCTGGCACCTCACTGACCCTTAATTGGTCCTGTGGGATAGGTAAGGTTGTAATAAAGGAAGTTGGTAGGTGTCTTTTCTTGCACCAAAATGGGAGTGAGCATGGAAATGATGGTTTAGAAAGCAATTCACCGGAGAATCTTCTTGGTTATTAGAGGCACAAAATCAGATAATTGGAAGTTAAAATGACAATGTAACTATGTAAGTAATATCAAGGAGATAATGCTAATTTATTGACTACAGAGTGGAGATTCAGAGTTTAGTGATGTGAAGTGATAGGCCCGTACTGACTACTAGTTCCGGGCCATGGAGACAAGATTCCCGTGACTATTTATATAAGAAAAAGGGGTTTTTATAGTTCAGATTCGGATCAGACGGAAACTGAAATGCTTGCTGGCTTGCTGCCACTGCCACTGACTGGGTCACGGTTACCGATTAATTGTTGGATTTTAATCTGATGAGAGATTAAATCTAATGGGTTTGATTGATCAAATTATATGAGAAATTGTACCTACACACTTGATTTAAAAATCTGTTTTTTTCTTACAAAAACCCGGTTTTGAATTTGTCCCACATTGGATAATTATAAGGTTTGTTTTCAGTATTTCAATAGTAGCTGATTTACACTCCTTAGAATTAGTAGAGGAGAGTATGGGGATTCGATACCGCGCAACGCGTGCGTGCACATGTGTGTGTGTGGCGCAATGAGGCGCTTTGGAGGCGCACTTTGCTCGCGATGGGTGGCTCTGGTTTTGGTGCGTTGATGACCGTTGAAGATCAACGGTCACGATTCGATCGGGTGTGATCAAGAGGCACAATTCAAAGTTAACAGTCACCAACTGTTAATTACTTTTTAAACAGTCACAATGTTTGAAATTGTGACTGTTCAAGGTGCCTTCTCTAAACCAGCACCCACCTTTTCCTCATACCTCTTCACAAATTATTTAAGAAGCATGAATCAGACTCCAAAACACAATTTCGAAATTCACTCTCTCTCTCTCTCTTTCT